TCCTCTTTGACCTAAGTATCTGATCACATCTCTTCTCTGGAGCAGAGAGGGGGTGGTGGAAGGAGGATTGAAACTCTCTGAAACTGGTTTCCTCCCCTCCTGGTTTAGTGTCTAGCGGATTAAGGGCGGGCCACTTAATCCTGTGAAACGGAATAAGGATCCCAGCTTCAGGAAGTTAGGTGAGAGTTCAGGAAGGCAGGCGCTTTTCAACTCCCAGGAGTTACCAGGTGCCTGGTTTTGCCTTGGGTTTTTACTTCTGTGTTTCCCGGAAAATAAGACATCCTCCGAAAATAAGACCTAGCGCATGGAAAGATAAGGCATCCCCTGAAAATAAGACCTAGCGCAACTTTGGGAGAAAAAAATTAATATAAGACACTGTCTTATTTCCGGGGAAACGGTAGTAAGAAAACACGTGTTATTTCAAGAACCAGAAGAGTGACAGCTGAGACTGCTTTGCAAATGTGTTTGATAAGCATGATTGGTCTTTAAAACAGAATAAGGTGTGGGAAAATCCAGGGGACGTGAAGGTGAGCCTGGTCAGCAGTGCCCTGTATTTTTATTGATTTCAGACAGGAAAGGAGAGAGAGGGGGCGGGGGGAGATATCAGTTTATTGTTCCACTTCTTTATGCACTCATTAGTTGATTCTTGTATGTGCCCTGGCTGGGGATTGAACCTGCAACCTTGTCTATTGGGACGATGCTTCCAACCAACTGAACTACTTGGCCAAGGCTGGACACTTTTTTTTTTCCTCCAATAGAGAACCACTTTTGCTCAAAGAATGAGAAACTATGGTTATTCATATCTGGAGAATTAGAATTTTCTAAAACAACAAGTGAATCTGTGACTTCAAGGAAAAAACTAATGGCATTTGTTGTCAACTAACTTGTATCCACCACTGTGAGCCTGAGACTTTCTCAGTATTTAAAGATAGAGAGTAAGATTTGATACTGTATAGTGAAGTGTTTTTAACATTTGGAAGCTCTGCATAATTTCCTGAACCAATATTTTCCAAAAGACCAATGCAGGAAATTATAAAACCAGGTAGGGGTAACAAATCAATTCAAAGCATTAAATAGACCAGTGGGTTTTAATATACTGGGTTCTGAAAATTTCATTGATATGGCTTCTGTTCTTATGGCAACTAACCTTTAAGAAACTATCATGTGTTGAGTTTTGGACATTAAAAACTAGTATCTGGAATGATCTGAAAAGGCTTTTTAAAGACCAAACCCTTTTTCCACTATTTTGTTGTGTGTGTATGTATTTTCTTCATATATTTCAATCAAAACAACAGATCAAGGCCAAAGGCAAATGTTAATATGTTCTTTGGATTTAAATGAATTAAGATGTTAAACATTTCTCACCCAGATGGAGTTGCTCAGTGGTTGAATGTCGACCTATGAACCAGAAGGTCACAGTTCGATTCCTGGTCAGGGCACCTGCTCAGGTTGCCGGCTCAATCCCCAGTGTGGGCTGTGTAGGAGGCAGCCAATGGATGATACTCTCTCATCATTGATGTTTCTCTCTCTTCCTCTCCTTTCCTCTCTGAAATCAATAAAACTATATTAAAAAACACACACACATTTCTCAGTTTTGCTTTCTAATACAGCAAAATATTCTTAGATATAAGCCACATAAAGAAAAGCTCTTTATAGCCCTCAATTTTTAAGAGTATAAAGGAGTCCTAAGACCAGGAAACTTGAGAACTGCTGCCTTATACGTATTAACTTGAACTTGCAGTAGCAATATAACCGTGACTTAGAAAAGCTATCTGCTGTAGGTGGTTAGAAATGTTTTGTTTTGCTTCTGTTTTTAAAGGCCATGCATTGTCAAAGCAATCCCATAATAGGGACAGTGCCGCTTGGTGGTTAATAATTGGGTCCAAGAGGGGTGGTGGCTGCCATGAGTTAATTTGATAGTGCAGTAAACACTCCACACTAGTGAGCATCAAATGTTAGCTAGTAACACTAGTGAAATATGATGTATTAACTCAATTATGAATTGTACACTAATAATAATTAGTATACTAGTAAATTTAATAATAATATGAATTATTTAACTGAAAAGTTTTATATTTAATTAGAAATTTGTACCTTCATGCTTTCAAACCCTTAAAGAAGGGAAAGAAGAGATGAATAGAGTTGTACTTATTTCATATCTTCAGGGTTTGCCTTTCCCTGACTGTAGTCTCCTCAACCTTTAAAAACAAACAAAAAGCAAACCTTTTAAATTGTTGCCATTTATTTTGTTTTTGGGATTGAGAACTCTCTTTGAGTTCCAACTGTTCAGGTAGATCTAATTTCTTGGCTTCCTCGTGATCCCTTTGAACTTGCTAAAAGAGGTGACTTTGAGAATCAAAGTTCTTACCTGGACTCAGGTGTCAAGATTGGCTGAAAAACGATCTCCCAAAGGTCTCCTGAGGGATGCTTGAAGAGAAGCTTGGGCCTTTTCTGTAACATGGCACACCCTGGATGCCTCCCTTCCAATCCTGACCCTGAGCATGGAGCCAGAGATGTGTCAGTGAGAGTTCTCTCCTGCTTGTTTGGGAAAGTTAGCTGGGACCAAGAGCCTCGGGAACTTTGTAGGACTCTATCTGATACTGGGGAACAAGCCACTGATCTGACAGATGTCCCCATGCTTCCACCAACCTTATTTCTTTCTTTGTCCTAAAGAACTAAACCTTTTATGGCTCATAAAAGGGTGTTAAAGCATATGTTTTCAGAAGGTAGGTTCCCTCCTCCTCCCCTATAATTTGGACTTTAAGGATTACAAGAAAGCTGCTACCTCTGGCATTTTATTATTTAAAAAAATTTTTTTAAATTAAAATATATTTTATTGATTTTGTACAGAGAGGAAGGGAGAGAGATAGAGAGTTAGAAACATCGATGAGAGAGAGTCATCGATCAGCTGCCTCTTGCACACCCCCTACTGGGGATATGCACGCAACCAAGGTACATGCCCTTGACCGGAATCGAACCCGGGACCCTTCAGTCCCCAAGCCGACGCTCTATCCATTGAGCCAAACAGGTCTCGGCTACCACTGGCATTTTAATTTAGAATTACTGTTATCTACTCGACACTGAGTTGAGTGTGGCAGTAGGCTAAATTCAGATCCTAAACTGGAAATGTTTTCAACTGTGGTTACCTTTTCTCCTTTCATGGTGTACAATATACAATGGTTGAAATCTGGGTTATCTCTTTTGAGGGTCCAGCACCAGAGTCGGCTCTGAAGGTTCATCTGCCAGTTCTGCTGGAAGTCTTACAACTGAGGGAAGAAGAGGCCACGGGGCTGTTTGCAAGTGCTAAAGGCTTGACACTAGAAGGTGGGAAGTTTGCAAGTTTTGGGGCTCTGATTTACTCCTGTGACATGCCTACCTTGTTGCTGGGGATGGAATGGGGAAAATGGAAGCCCTGTATGCATTGTCCAGTCTCAATCCATGTATGATTGGACCATCTTTTTTTTTTTTTTTTTTTTTAATATATTTTTATTGATTTTAGAGAGGACAGAGATAGAAACATCAATGATGAGAGAGATTTATTATCCCCCTCCTTCCTACAATGCTCCCTATTAGGTGTTGAGCCCGAAACCCAGGCATGTGACCTCCTGATTCATAGGTCAATGCTCAACCACTGAGCCACTCCAGCAGAGCTAATTGGACCATCTTGATTGACCTCTTGGGGCTAGAACTGATTTCATGGTCAGTCAGTGCAAAAGTTGAAGGAGAGGAGGAGCCAGACTGAAATAAAATATGCATGATCTGAGAAGAAAATAGATTTTTCTAAATGATTCTTCCTAAAGTGATGGCATTGAAACAGAAATTAGTCACAGCTTACTGAATATTGCTGGGGGCCATTTTACCCTAATCATCTGCTTTTCTAGTCTGGTTCATTCAAGATAACATTTGAGTGTTACAGAGCACTATGTTATTGTTATTGTTATTGCTAAAATATATTTTATTGATTTTTTACAGAGAGGAAGAGAGAGGGATAGAAAGTTAGAAACATCGATGAGAGAGAATCATCAATCAGCTGCCTCTTGCACACCTCCTATGTTATTGTTATTTTATTTTTAAAAAAATATATTTTATTGATTTTTTACAGAGAGGAAGAGAGAGAAATAGAAATTTAGAAACATCAATGAGAGAAAATCATCAATCAGCTGCCTCTTGCATATCCCCTTTATATCCAAGGTACATGCCCTTGACCGGAATCGAACCTGGGACCTTTCAGTCCGTAGGCTGATGCTCTATCCACTGAGCCAAACCGGTTTTGGCATGTTATTGTTATTTTTAAAAGCATATTTTTATTGTTTTCAAAGAGGAAGGGAGAAGAAGAGAGATATAGAAGCATGAATAATGAGAGAATCATTGATCTGCTGCCTCCTGCACGCCCCAGCATGTGCCTCGACTGGGAATCAAACCTTGACCTGGTTCATAAGTCAACGCTCCACCACTGAGCCGTGCTGGTTAGGCGGCACTGTGTTATTTAACGTGGGACCTATCTGTGCTCTGTGATGGAAACAGTTGTAAGTATTAAAGCCTTCTCTAGGATCCATTGACTTAGTGTTTTTGGTGTGTATGACCTTATATGTGGTAAAGTCCGTGGTGACATGAGAGCCCAGTTGATGCCAGCATTGTACACTACCAATTCTAAATCTCCGTCCAGCTTTTGTTTGCCTGCACTTTGCAAGAGGAGTAGTTTATCCCCTTTTCACAGGGCTCTGCTCCAGTGGGCTCTTGACTGGCACACTCAGCAGTCTCTTTAGTTCAATTCATGAATTCAAAACATGGCTTTGCTCGTGAGCTGACAATTTTTTTTTAATTCTTTGTTTTTGAAAATGTTACATATGTCTACTTCCCTCCCCTGCCCCCCGCCATTGGCCTCTCCCTGCCCACTCCCTAGTGAGCTGACAATCTTAATGTTAATTCTGGTTAAGGAGTTTGTTATGAGGGTTTGGGACATAAAGGTTCCACAATGAACTCTGCTCCTTTTTTCTTGCAGGGTATTTGAGAAAATGCCGGTCCTTAGGATGCTGCAGCGAGTTATGGGCCAGATGCTGCAGAGCCCTGCCGGTGGCTACAGAGCAGCTTTCCTGCCTGGCCGGGTCCTGGGCACCTCCTCTTGGCACATTCCAGCAGATGCCAACTTCCACTCTGGGTCTCTATCTGGAACAGACCGGCCACCACGGGTCTTAATTACAGGTTGAATTTGTGGCTTGATTATTTTATCTTCTGTGCAGCTTCTGCGTGGTTGTGCATTTGTTTTTGGAATGTTTGACATGCTTTCAGGGAACATTTATTAATCACAGACTATCTTTTCTGCTTTTGACTTCCTCCAGAATATTGCAAATCTCTGATCTTTATTTCATCACTGTTGCCAGCTCTTATTTTCCCTGCCATAATTTTTGTTGTTAATCCTCACCCAAGGATGTTTTACCCATTGGTTTTCAAAGAGAGTGGAAGGGAGGAAGGGATAGGGGAAAAGAGAGAGAGAGGGAGAGAGAGAGAGGAACATTAATGTGAGAAAGGCACATCGATTGTTTGCCTCTTGCACATGCCCTAAGGGGAGCCAGGGATTGAATTTGAACCCAGGTATGAGCCCTTGATCTGGAATCAAAGACTCTAACCATTGAACTTCACCAGTCAGGGCTCCCTGCTATAATTTTTAATTATCTGAGGGAGGAACTAGGTAGCTGGGGAACCAAAAGCTGTTGTGGTCTCAGTTCTACTGCCTTATTAGGATCGTCTTGTGTGCAAAGGCTCATGCGAATGTGCAGGATGAGAGCATGGATTCTGAAATCAGGAGCATCTTTTCTTGTCGAAATTTCTCAACCTAAACTCGGTGTCATTCATCCCAAGCAATTACTACATGTTTGTGTGTTGGCGACAGAAAAGATGAGTTAGGGCCTTCCTGGAGGAGCTCACTCCCATCATCTCATGTTACCATCTCATTGACACTTGTTACCTAATCCTCCGTATCCCTTGTACACCCAGTGCCTGATTTTGTACTTGCCTCTGCAAACTTCACTCCCACATACTTCCAGCCAACTGAAGCCCATCTCTGATTTAATTGACATTTTTATTTCCTTCTTAACCAGGTTTTCTTCCCTTGGCTTTTAGTCATGATCCTTATTACAACTCTCACTGTGTGTGTGTGTGTGTGTGTGTGTGTGTGTGTGTGTTCCTTTTACTGCTTCTTTCTCTTCTGCTGTGAAGGTTTCAAGTGTTGTGGGTTCCCCTCTGCACTTTGCTCTCTGATTCGCTCTGCTTGTTGTCTGCTGTTTTACTCCCTCCTACGTCCACCAACAAAACATCTTCCAGGGCCCAGGTGAGCATCAGTGGGCCTGGTTTCAGTCCCATGTTAACCCGTGTTTACAAGAAATCCTACTTCCTGTATCTTCCTGCCTCATTCATTTCTCCCAAATGAAATTTATGGTATGTTCCTTCAAATGTGCTCCCAGCCCCACCAACTCTCCCATTTCTATCAGTAACATTTTTAATGCCATTTTATTTCTTTTAATGCCTTTTTGTTGACTCATTTATCTGCCCCTTTTTTCAGATACCTTCTTGGTTTGTCCCCCCTCTTTCTCCTTTCACATCCCACTCCAGTTTTGATGGAGGATGGGGTTCTGGGAAACCTCACCAGAGACTGAGACAAACTATATATTTGTCTGAGTGTTTTGGAACTAGTAGTAGACAAGCTTCAGAGCGATCGGAAAACAAAGACAAAGCTGGGAACAAACTTCTGGCCCCAAGAGCTAGGAGGTTGTCTGGCTTTCTTGTGATTTTTCTCTTCTTAACACCCTTTCTTCCCTCCAGCGACTTTGTGCTGGAGAGAGGTTTGTCTCTGGAACTAATCTTAGCTGTATCAATTTCTGTCTTCACTGGGAGGAGGTAATTCAATTCTATCAGTCCAACCTGGCACTTTATCTAATTAGATAAGATTATAACTATAGCTTTATTTCATTATTACTTTCTGGGAATAATTGCTTTGGTTAGATTTGGATTAAAGTTTTACTTTTCCCCCCCCCCTTTTCTTAGGGGGTCTTGGCCAGCTTGGAGTGGGGCTTGCTACCTTATTAAGGTAAGAACCCTAAAAGCAGAAATTTGAAATCTGAGTTCTTGAGTATAGGACCTTTGTCTTTGGTACCATTTAATCTGTCCTCCCCCTTCCTATTTTTAAGATGGCATATCTACAGTGGCAAATGTTTAGAATATATTTCCTTTGGCCTCTTAATATCATAGACACTGTGGCAGGTCTTTTGGCTCAACATCTCCCACACTGGTCCTTTGCGCCCTCTCTTTTCTCACTTAGACAGAGTAAGACACCTAACTCTAAATGAATCACTTGATTTTTAGATGTTTAGGGGCAGAGGGAAGTATGACAAGGAATAGTGTGGGATTTAGAGGGAGCGGGATGAAAAAATAAGAGCAAGAAGAGAAGAATGGGGAGGGTGAGGTAAACTTATGGGTACAGGGAAGAAATTGATGGCAAATATAGGGATGCTAAGGGGTGGAAGTAGGAACAGAAGATGGGGCTGTGAAAGGGAGAGGGAGGCCTGAATGCGGTCAGAACTGACCGGTGTGTGTGTTTGGAAAGAAGAGGGAGAAAAGGCATGGGGGAAAAGATAAGGGGGACTCAAAGGCTGATTGCAAGATACAGTTCTTATTTGAAAGATTGTTTTCATAGAACCAATTATATCCTAGCTGTACCAACTCATGTGTATTGATTTTCCCTTTAGGGAACACTTTGGGACGGACAATGTGATTTTGACTGACATAAGAAAACCCTCCGACCAGGTGTTCCATAGTGGTGAGAGACCATTGCTTTTGTTTTTATCTTTACTTTCCAAAGTGCAGTTAGGGAAGCAGCTCATGGAATCTGTGTGCCACAGCTCTTAACCAGGCATGTGCATTAGAGGAGAAGTACTGAGGCACAGAGGTGCCCTTGGTAGTTCTGTAAAATGTCTATAGTCATGCTGCTGCTCATTCAAGTGTGACAAGAATATGAGAGTGCTGAATGTAAAGTTTTTTAATAACATCTTTGGCTATCACGTGGAGTAGTATCTTTGGAATAAAAACATTGATTACTGTCCTTTTAGCATATATATATTGATTGATTTTAGAGAGGAAGGGAAAGGGAGAGGGAGAAAGATAGAAACATCAATAATGAGAGAGAATCATTGATCCTGCACGCCCCCTACTGGGGATGGAGTGCGCAACCTGGGCATGTGCCCTGATGGGGAATCTAAATGCAACCTCCTGGTTCATAGGTCGATGTTCAACCACTTGAGCCACACCAGCCAAAACAGCATTTCCTGTTTTTTTTTTGTTTTTGTTTTTAGTTTTTAGTTAACTTATTGGATCAGAGAGCCAGCAAACAAAACTCAAATCCTATAATGAGGAACTTTAAAATTTTTGAGAAATTAATCCTCATATTTCAACATAGACTTGCTCTTAATCTACTGTGTATACACACACACACACACACACACACACACACGTGCGCGCACACACACATACACACACAAAAATCTCAAACTCTCCTAACTCCACTAAATCAGAAATATTTTTATAATGTCTTCTGATTCTTTCTGGTTCAATACCATTCTTTTGCTGTTTATGGAGGGGAAGAATGGTAATTTGCTATAATGGGAAAATTGGCATTGAATAAAATCAGTTTTACCTCCAAATTAACAGGGTACTATAAAATCATGATTTTTTAAAAATATATTTTATTGATTTTTTTACAGAGAGGAAGGGAGAGAGATAGAGAGCTAGAAACATCGATGAGAGAGAAACATCGACCAGCTGCCTCTTGCACACCCCCCACTGGGGATGTGCCCGCAACCAAGGTACATGCCCTTGACTGGAATCGAACCCGGGACCTTTCAGTCCACAGACCGACGCTCTACCACTGAGCCAAACCGGTTTCGGCTAAATTCATGATTTGTGGTTCTTCTATACTAGTGATTTTCAACCTTTACATCTCATTGTACACATAAATTAATTACTAAAATTCTGTGACACTCTAAAATATATAGTTTTTCCTATCTGACAAAAAGAATAGTTATAATTTTGATTCATTCATACCAGATAGCTATTGTTGTATTGGCTATTGCATTTAAAAAAATATATTTTTATTGATTTCAGAGAGAGGAAGGGAGAGAGGAGAGATAGAAACATCAATAATGAGAGAATCACTGATTGGCTGCCTCCTGCATGGGGATGGCACTGGTTACCCTGACATGTGCCCTTGACTGGAATCAAACAAGGGACCCTTTAGTCAGCAGGCTAATGCTCTATCCATTGAGCCAAACTGAATAGGGCCATTTTTTTATTTGACAATCTAAGGAAAAAGAGATCAGGTTCCCAGACTAAAGAGCATGTTTTAAAAGTTCTTGTGGCATATTGGTTGAAAATCACTGTTCTGTACCACGGTATTTTGTTTTGGTTTTTAAACCCATTTCTCTTCTTCCTTTAAAAATGTTACTTTTAAGTAGAGTGAAATCACTCTGCATGTAGGGTTGATGTTAACAATGATGACTGGAGCCAATTGCCTGGTTGTGACCATATTTCTCCAACTTACTCTGATTCTGGCAAGTTCTTAACCTCTCTGTGCCTCCGTATCTACCTCAAAGGCTGTGTGAGAGCTACATATACAGAAAGCCCTTAGAGCAGTGCCTGCAAGTCTGAGTCTTTATAAGCATTAGCTGTTGTCAGCTGTGAGGTGGTTGTGGTTGGTGATTCTTCCATAAATAAAATGCCCAATAGTGTCGAAGTGGTTCAGTTACCAAGTTGGTATTAAAGGAATTCACAAGTCAAGGAGTGGGGAGGACCATTTAGTTTTTCAAACCCCGAACTTCTCACTTCTGTGGCTTCACCATGTTCCTTGTAGGCCCATTTATTTATTCCGACGTTCTGGATTACAAGAATCTCCGAGAGATAGTGGTAAATCACCGCATCACCTGGTTGATTCACTATGGCGCTTTGCTCAGTGCGGTCGGAGAAACAAACGTATCCTTGGCAAAAGCAGTAAATATCACTGGTAAGTCTCTGGGTCTTGCCCAGTATGACCTGTTTGTCGATTTTTCCAGTTCTTCAGCAAGAGGTTGCTCAGTTGTGATACTATGATGTTGGTTTCAGGATTACATAATGTTCTGGACATCGCCTTGGAACACAATTTGCGATTGTTTGTGCCCAGCACGATCGGAGCTTTCGGACCTACTTCTCCCCGGGACCCAACCCCTGATCTCTGCATTCAGAGACCCAGGACGATCTACGGGGTCTCCAAGGTCCACGCCGAGCTCATGGGGGAGGTACGCATGGCAAGATGACTCCGTGTTTTCATTTTTTGTTCTTTTGCCTCAGACACCTGCTGGTTTATCCTTGGAGGGACTTCCCCTTCCCCATCCCAGCCCCCCAAAATGCTCATAAACTGATTATGTTTGCAAAACGGCATGTACAGATAGCTCCACAAGAATGTCCCTGCCCTCAGCCATATGGTACCACTCAACACTTCCTAGAGGCTGCTCAAAGGGCATTTGCTGCCCTTTTATTTGTTCCGTTCTTCTCCCATTATTGGTAGTTGTTGTTGGTAACTTTAAATAATATTTTAATCCTCACCTGAGGATATGTTTTTATTTTTATTTTTGTTTATTAATTTTGAGAGAGAGAGACAGACAGACACAGAGAGAGGGAGAGATAAACAATGATTGGTTGCCTCCTGCAGGGCCCATCTAGGGATTTAATTTAATTTATTTATTTATTTATTTATTTATTTATTTTAAAATATATTTTATTGATTTTTGTACAGAGTGGAAGGGAGAGAGAGAGTTAGAAACATCAATGAGAGAGAGTCATTGATCAGCTGCCTCTTGCACATCCCCTACTGGGGATATGCCCGCAACCAAGGTATATGCCCTTGACCGGAATCGAACCCGGGGCCCTTCAGTCTCCAAGCCGATGCTCTATCCATTGAGCCAAACCGGTCCCGGACCCATCTGGGGATTTAAAAAAAAATACACTTATTGATTTCAGAGAGGAGGGGAGAAAGAGAGAAAAACATCAATGATGAGAAAGAATCATTGATTGGCTTGCCTCATGCACACCCCTCAGTGATCGAGCCTACAACCTGGGCATGTGCCCTGGCTAGAAAGCGAATCGTGACCTCCTGGTTCATAGGTTGATGCTCAGTCGCTGAGCCATGCCGGCTGGGCCTAACCAGGGATGGAAACCACAACCTAGGTATATGTGCCCTGATCAGCAATCAAACCCACAACTTTAGGATATATGGGCTGATGATCCAATCAACTGAGCAAACAGCCAGGGCTGGTTTTATTCTTTTACCTTCGTCTTTATAACTCTCTAGCAAATTTTAGTTGGTGTCTGATCCTTCAGCTGATGTCACAGTCGTTGCTCTCCCGTCACCCGCTGTCCTCCCCTGTACTCTTCCCAGTGCTGCCGTGCAGGGACCTGCTTAGGGAGAATTGTGCAGGGCAATGAGCAGGAACTCTTCCCCAGAAAAGGGTGGAAATACCTACTGTGGGCTGAGTTACTATTTATTTACAATGTTGATGTAACCCCAGGATAATGATTCTTTGAAGATAAAAGTTGAAGTTCTTTATTAAAGAAAAACGAGTCTGTTAGAAATTCTAGAGTCTTCCTTTCCTTCAGCAGAATTTTAATATAACTGCATGGGATGATATTTCAGAAAAAAAGGCTGTTATTTCTTTGCATTGCTCTATCTGATTTGAAAGGTTCTTTTTAAACTAAGTTTTCTTTCTTTTGCAGTATTATTATTACCGGTATGGGTTAGATTTCCGATGCCTGAGATATCCTGGCATCATTTCGGCTGACTCTGAACCTGGAGGAGGGACAACTGGTAAGTGTTGCTTCCTATTTCTTTCTTATTAAGAAGAAAAAAAATGTTTTTTTAAAAATTGATATTTAGAGATAGAAAGGAAGGGAGAGAGTGAGAGAGGAACATCAGTTGTGGGAAAGAAACATAGATAGGCTGCCTCCTGCATGGCTACTACTGGAGATTGAGCCTGCAACCCAGGCATGTGCCCTGATGGGGAATCAGAGAGCTTTTGGTGCATGCGATGACACTCATCCAACTGAGCTGCACAGACCAGAGCTTCTATTTCTTTTGTTTGTAAGATAGGGAATAGTGTGATGGATCTGCTATCTCTTTTAGAGGTATGCTAACTGGAGTTTCTGAATCCCCTCCAGGAAGTGCATCTGAGAAGCTCATGGAACACTATTGACTTACACTAGCTAAGGGCAGCTTATGCCGGTGTTGGAAACCCAGCTCAGGATGGGCCACTTGGTGCACAGTGCTGGAATCAAATGGTTAATATTCAGGAACAAATTTGTTACTCATAGTGTAGGAAGACATATTTAAAAGGAAATAAGCATCACCATGATTATTATTCATTTGGGCTCAAGCACGCATTATATTTCCTAACTCCTACATTAGAATTCCTTCTCATATGAAGGGTCCTGAGATACACTATAAAAGATACTTGAAAAATCTAAGGATTTTAAAAGAGGCTTTGGTTTTGGTTACTTTTATTTTTATTTATTTATTTATTTATTTTTAATATATTTTATTAATTTTGTACAGAGAGGAAAGGAGAGAGATAGAGAGTTAGAAACATCGATGAGAGAGAGTCATCAATCAGCTGCCTCTTGCACACCCCCTACTGGGGATCTGCCCATAATCAAGGTACATGCCCTTGACCGGAATCAAACCTGGGACCCTTCAGTCCCCAAGCCGACGCTCTATCCATTGAGCAAAACCAGTCCTGGCTGGTTTTGGTTACTTTTAAATAGCTTTTGCCTAGTACTGGCTGGATAGCTCAGGTGGTTGGAGGTTCAATCTCCAGTCAGAGCACATTCCAGTGAATGCATGGCTAGGTGGAACAACAAGTCAGTATTAACATTATTAATTAATTAAAACACCCTTGCCTTAGAGTGGTGCTTCTCCAAGTATGGGAACCCCTGTGTATCCCTGAGGCTTTTTCAAAGGGCCCAAGAGTCCAAAACTATTGTCATATCAAGAGTAAGCTGTTATTTGCCCTTTTCACTCTCCAAGTGCACTGTGGCATTTCCCTCAGGCTGCATGATGTGCAGTAGCACAGCAGACTGAATGCAGAAGCAGATAGGGGACAGTGGTCTTCTCTTAATCAGACAGTAAAGAGATTTTTTAAAGGATAAAACATGTCATTCTAAATTTTTTTGTTTTGTTTGGAAAATACCTCCTTTTTCATATAGAATGTCATACATATGAATATATAATGGTCTGTTATTGTCATTTTAAAATGTAATATTTAAACATTTTTCTCAGTTAATTCCTGATACTGTAAATATTAATATAATTCACATGAAAAATATCTCATTGGATATTTTTGTGGTTTTTTAAAAGAGCACAGAGAAGGCCCTGGTGGCATGGCTCAGTGGCTGAGCGTCAACCTATAAACCAGGAGATCACGGTTCAATTCCCAGTCAGGGCACATGCCTGGGTTGTGGTGTTGATCCCCAGTGTTGGGTGTGCAGGAGGCAGCTTACCGATTCTCTCTCATCATTGATGTTTCTATCCATCTCACCCTCTCTGATCCTCTTTAAATCAATAAAAATACATTAAAAAAGAGAGAGAGAGAATAGAGAGGTTTGGAGACTAAGATGTTTGAGAACCACTGCCTTAATCCAAGAGACTCACTCATGATTTTGTTCTAAGAAGAGCCACTGACAGGACTTTCTTTCAGACTATGCAGTCCAGATTTTCCACGATGCCATAAAGGATGGCAAGTATGAGTGCTACCTGAAACCCAGCACAAGGCTCCCAATGATGTACATTGATGACTGCCTCAGGGCCACCCTGGAAGTCATGGAGGCCCCGGCAGAGTCCCTCTCTCTTCGGACCTACAACATCAATGCCATGAGCTTCTGCCCCGAAGAGCTGGCCCAGGAGGTTCTTAAGCACATGCCGGAATTCCAGATCACGTACAAAGTGGATTCTGTTCGACAGGCCATAGGTTGGTACATCATTGTAGACCCCTTCAAACCAAGGTTAAGCTTCACTCTGCACTGAGTATCCTCGGAGGATAAGTAGAGCATGAAGCCTTCCTGTGGGTCCTGGCACCTTCTGGAGAAGGAGCTGTTGAGTCAGAGCCCTCAGATGCTGCCATTTTGGGAGATGATATCTAAAGTGGGTGGAATAGTTTCATTCCAAATAAACAGCTTGTCAGCATTTCACCATCTTACAGTTTCAACATGTAACAAGCAGACATGGCAGGAAAGGAGCCCTCGATTTTCAAATGCCGTGACCGTGCCACTCTGTGGCCCTGGGCATTTTTGCCCAGTGATCGGCAAACTCGTTAGTCCACAGAGCCAAATATCAACAGTACAACGATTGAAATTTCTTTTGAGAGCCACATTTTTTAAACTTAAACTTCTAACGCCACTTCTTTAAATAGACTTGCCCAGGCCATGATATTTTGTGGGAGAGCCACACCCAAGGGGCCAAAGAGCCGCATGTGCAGTTTGCCTACCACAGCCTTTGCCTATAAGATTCGTATCTTATGAGCTTGTGTGAGATTTTAATAGTATGTGACAATTCACAGTGTCTGACAGTAGATATATAATACAATCTTCTAATCTAAGAGAGTGACTATGTATGCGCATAGCAGCTGCTCTGGTCTGCTCAAAGGGGGAATTTCTCTTATGGTACCTTATATGATAGATTATTACATAAAGTGTTCTAGGCCTTTTTGCAATTCTACAATAGAGCCTGAAAACCTTAACCTACTCTTTCTGTACCTTTTCCTAGCGGAGAGTTGGCCGATGAAATTCGATGACAGCAATGCTCGTAAGGACTGGGGATGGAAACATGATTTTGACCTTCCAGAGCTGGTGACCACAATGTTGAGCTTCCTTGATCCCGAAAGTAGAGTTGCCCAAGCAAACTGAATGACTCAGAAAGAAGAGCTTGTGTATCATGGACAGCTCTCCAGGGAAAAATGTAATGACCCCAAAGTCATAGATACCAAACACCAAGAGTATCCAGAGTCGAGGCCTAATTAAACTAAATTTTAGCAGTTCTTATTGAATTGCTGGATGGAGAATCGAGTTGGCTTTAGCATTTTCAAAATGCTGTTCTGGTGGTAGAACTTCTAACTCTTTGCTGTGTGCCTAACTTGTCCAAACACTCATATTCCAGAATGAAGACTTAGGTCACAATAATTTCCATGTCCTTAAATAAGATGAAATGACTATTTCTGGGAAGGTGGAGGTTATATGACACTTTGTGTTGGATTAAATTCAATTTAAATATCACTTCTAAGTCTCTATTCTCTTGACTAGAGACAAAAGATTGTATTTTAAAGACTATATATATCAAAGATGATCCCCTATTTAAAAGTACTCTTTACATCTTATCAGAATATAAAACATGTTTGATATGTTTATTAATCCCATGTTCGTAGTGTTCAAAAGATTTTAACGCTTCTTCAAAAATTATCACTTCTCATATATTCTTCTGTAAGAAGGTGTATCTGTAGGAAATTAAGGTTAGCAAAGACGATATAAGTAGGGAAGGGTAGTGCCTCTCTTATTTTGATTGCCTTCCTGTTGGTGAGCTAAGTGGTGATCAGCAGGAGTATAATTCCCTTACCTGGCAATGTCTGCCTCCCAGAGGAGCTTATCTAAATATTCAGGTTTCTGGGCTCACCTCTTCAAGTTGACTCAAATGGGAATGGCCATCTAAGTGCCGTCAGTTGTCTTATTGCAGCTCAAGTCCACTAGTTTATACCAATTCCAAACACTATTTTCTGAGAACTTTTTTGTTACAGTCTTTGTTTTATGCACTCTTAGATTGAGACTTCAGAAGAGCTACTCTGAAACCATTCTAGATAATAAAACCCTAATGTGCAAATCAACCAAATGGTGGAACAACCTTGCAGAACAACTGGTCATTATGACATGCACTGTTCTTCCCCCACCAACCCCACTTCCCCCGCAGAGGGAGGTGACCAGCAGCTGCGATCAGAAGGTGGGGCCGGCCAGCAGGCGGAGCCAGGCCACCAGCCAAGGCGAGTGCCAGCCAGGCCCACCCCCCTGATCACCAGCCCACTACTTGCCCCACAGATGGCCCTGATCACCGGCCAGGCCTCGGGACCTACCCTATATTTTGGGAACAGTCTCTTAGATTTAAAAATTAAAACCTGGCAAGGCTACTCTAACACTGAAAAAACAAGTCAATGCAGCGATGACATGCATGGACTCTGGCTTGCACATTTTGTGGTCAGCCCTGATTCTGACACTTATAACGTTTGACAAAGCCAACTACTTAACTTCTCTCTGCCTCAGTTTTTCTACCCATAAGATGGGGAAAATGGTACTACTGTCTCAGAAGGAGCATGTTATATACTACTTTTTATAATCAGGGCAAAAAAATGTAGCTGCCCGTACAATAGCAAGATGCCTTTCACCTGTATGAAAAGTAAGGTCACTAGTGCATACAGCATCCAGGTTGTGAGAGAGATGTCCGACTGCAGGTTTAGGCCTAACATCCCCTGAGGGGTCCCAGATTGCGAGAGGATGCAGGCTGAGCTGAAACACCACCCCCCCAACCCCAGTCCCAGCCCTTGTGTACAAATTTTGTGCACTGGGCCTCTAGTTATTATATAAATATATGCAGACTTCTTTCCAACTGCCTCAGGATGTGCTACATGTGAAATCACTAGAAAGAGAAACTGCATAGGTGAATCTGGGTACATTAGACAATAGGTCAAGGATTAAAAGGCATTTAGCCCTGGCTGGAGTGGTTCAGTTGTTGGAGCATTGGTCTGTGCACCAAAGGGTTGCAGGTTTGAACCTGCAAGGGCGTGTGCCTGGGTTGCAAGTTTGATCCCCAGACCTAGTTGGGGCACGTGCAGAGGGCAACTAATCTATATGTCTCTCTTACATTGCTATTTCTCTCTTTCTCCTCCCCTGCCCCACTTTCACTTTCTAAAAATCAATGGAAAATATATCGTTGGATGAGGACTTTAAAAAAAACAAACAAAAAAAAGCTTATTTAACTTTTAGCTGAAGAACTTGCAGATAATTGAATTATTTAATATTTATGTTGTAGTTTTTTTTCTATGTAATATAATTAAGCTTACATTTGTGCATTTTATTTTCTAAAACCAAATAGGTAGTAATAAGTTTTTTAAAGGTTTATTTCACATAATGTAAAATTTAGTATACATATTTTTCAGTATATTTACAAGGCTGTTGCAACCATGACTATAAACTAATTTTCAGCTATATCAACATCTTATGAAGAAATCACCTATTAACCCTCCCCACCATACACAGCCATTAATTTACAATACTTTCTCTGTCTGTGGATTTCCCTGTTCTGGACATTTCCTTTCATATAAGTGGAATCATAGAATATATGTTTTTTGTGAGTGGCTTTTTAATTTTAACTTAACGTTTTCAAGGTTCATTCATGTGGTAGCATGTATCAGTACTCCATTTCGTTGCTAACTAGTATTCCATTGAATGCATATATACCACATTTTGTTTGTCCATACTTCAGTTGAGGGACATTTATCTGATTATACTTTTTTGTTGTGAATAATGCTTTTATGAATATTTGTGTAGGTAATTGGCTTTTGAATCTCACTTACTTCTTATTCACAGTTTAAAAACAATTCCTAAGCTCTCTTCATTCTTAGTTATCTTAAAGGGACAGAAATTAATTTTTTCCATCCTTGAGAATGGAAGAAGCAACTGACGTGATTGACCCTTTCCCCTAAACTCTACTCTTCCAGTGTTTCCACCAGGTTCTTTGGGTGACTTTGTAATTGGGGCCCTCTGGAGGGATTCTTTCTATTTAAAAAAAAAATACACTTATTGATTTCAGAGAGGAAGGGAGAGGGAGAAAGAAAGGTAGAAACATCAATAATGAGAGAGAATCATTGATCGGCTGCCTCCTGCATGCCCCACAGTGGGAATTGTGCCCACAATCCAGGCATGTGCCCTGACTGGGAATTGAACATGACCTCTTCATTCATAGATTGATGCATAACTACTGAGCCATGCCAGCTGGGATGGAGGATTTGTTCTAGAATGGCCATAGGTTTTACAAATCTATAAATGTACCTCCAGAAGAATCTCAAAGAGGAATAAAAGAACAATGAATGCTCTGAATTATATGTATGATTCTTACTCACTGACATCTTTGCATTCTATTGAAGACTAAAATTAAGAGTTGCCCTTGCTATCTAAACATGTTCTGTCTGGTGCACATCTTGGAACCCTAGAAGATGACTCCATATCTATAATAATCTATAATAATAAGAGCATAATATGCTTATTAGACCAGACGGCCGAACAGCTGAACGACTGTCCAGATGACCTATAGGATGAAGCTGGGGCTGCAAGGGCCAAGCCCCTTGAATGTATTTCATGCATCGGGCCTCTAGTTTTACTATAAAAAGCTTTCCTTCTGTTGGGAGACAGGATTTTAAAAAAAATTTCTATTGATGAAGGTATCACATATTTGTCCTCATCCCCCTGGGAGACAGGGTTTTTATGGTTAATTTAGAAATGATCTGAAGAAGAGGAAAGTGTGGGGGTAACCACAAAACTGTTCTTTAAAATTAAAAAAAAAAGAAAGAATACAAAGGTTGACTTGGCTTAATGTTTTTCATTTGAACATTTTCACACACCATCAATATGGTTGTTAGTTCTACTACCATGTTTTCTGTGTGGCATTGCCATGGTGTGCCTTTGTGTCATTCCACAAACAGCACAGCCTAATGGCTGCCAGGAAGGTATACTGTTTAAAATAGACCAACAGGTCTTGGGCAATGAATATTATTGCACTGCTTTGGACACTTACTGTAAAGGAGGGTGAATGCTTACAGCATTTTAAAAATTTGCTTAGGTCAGATTAACAATTTGTTACTGTGTTTTATGATAAGGGCTTGAGTATTTTTAAATATTTTAAATTGATTTTTAGAGAGAGAGGAAGAGAGAAGGAGATAGAAACATCAATTGGCTGCCTCCTGCACTCCCCTTCCTAAAGATCAAGCCCACCACCTGGGCATGTGTCCTGACTGGGAACCAACCAACAACCTTTTGGTGCACAGGCTGACACTCAGACAATGGAGCCACATTGATCAACACAAGGGCATAAATGTTTTTAAAAAACATTAAAATGCTTTTCACTTGAAAAAAATTACCAGGGCATATTTTATATTTTATTGAAGGACTTATTTAGGCTTTACTAGACATAATTTTAAAAATCATTTTAGTATACATAAGAATAGAAGTAGCCCAGCTGGTGTGGCTTAGCAGTAGAGCGTAAACCCAGTGGTTCAATTCCCGGTCGGGGCACATGTCTAGGTTGCAGGTTTGATCTCCAGTAAGGGGTGTGCAGGTTGCAGTTGATTGATGTTTCTATCTTTCTATCCTCCTCCCTTACTCCCTCCCTAAAATAAATTTTAAAAAAATTAAAAACAAGAGAGAGAAGTAGTCTAATGCTCGTTCGGTATAATACCTAAAACTTCAGATCTGACTTTTCTGAGACCTGTTTTTACTCAGTTGTCTCTTTTTATTCCATCAGTGTTATTCTTAGTGTCAATAGCTGTGTTGGTGATAGAGCATTTCTTAAAGGAAATAATAAAAACTAAAAATAATTGGTGCTATAAACCAGCTTTACAATTAGATTAAGTTCCTCTACTTTTGACACCTGCTTCAGGAATGTGGCTAAATATATTGGATTCACCCCAAACTTACAACTCTGGTTCCTAGGGAATAAAAAGCTGACACCCATCCTGCAGGTGTAGGTAGTATTGTTTTAGGCGATGCCAACATTATGGTTACCATCTGGTCAATGGCGATTATAAGATACCTCCTGATTTCAAAGATGTTCAAGTGTGGAAGATATGTGATCTTAGCATAGGTAATTAGATTTGGTTGCATTTGTACCCACTGAAGTCCAAGGGCAACATCTCCCCTGCCCAGGCTGCCATTTTAAAGTTGAAGACATGAAGTGGTTTGCTCTGCCGTAGTGGGCCACTCATTTAATTGGCTCATGACCTGCTTTTTATAGTGCTGGATGGGCTAACAGTTAAAGTGGGCACTAGAAAAGTTGAATGCCAGAATGTGTAAAGCCACAGAGGAGGAGAGAAGATCAGGTTTAAGCTGACATGAGAGAGCTTTGATGAAAGAACAGATTGTCCCATGGGGAGTTAAATCACATTAGGGTCATGGTCCCTAATATGATCCATCCCCTTTGTTCTACAACATTTTAGGTGAAATTTCAATTCTTACTAGTGAAGTTGCAATATTTGCAGTGCTACCACTAAGGCTGGGGATGGCTCATAGGGTAGAGTGGGAGGTTGCAGTGTGAGCCTTTAAGCCTTGTGTCTTGAATATACCAGCATCTTCCAAATTAGGAGATTAAGAGGCTGGAATAAGAAAAGCAAGAACTTTCATTATCTGTAGAATAATTTGTTCACAGTATAATGGTCATATGTATTAAAGTATTGTCACTAATATTTTAATATATATCCAAGATACCATAAATTTTCAAAAAACACACACACATATACTGCATAGTTTATTTCACACTAGCTGGTAACCATAGAAGTTGAGGTTCCATTTTAGATAGCTACCTACTTTTAAAAAAGTAATTAATTAAAAAATTTCAGATGTTAACTAAACTTATTGTGGTGATCATTTCACAGCATACTAATATTGAACCATTACATTGTACATCTGGAACTAATATAATGAATATTATGTCACTACTACCTCAATTTAAAAAATATATGCTTGTGGTAAAATTCAAGCAACATTAATGGGTAAATACAGTGCAAAGTATGTCTCAGTTGCCAACTCTAGAGGCAATGATAGTTGGTTGCATATTTAG